GGGGGGGGGGGGGTTGGGCGCAGCTATCCCCGAAGAGGGGCCTGGCGCCACCCCTGTTTCTTACTATTGAAACCGCATTACGATGTTCGGAACTTTGTATACAACTTTACCATTATCCTAATTTGTAAGGCTGCTGTATCTATCGCATACAGCTTAGTATTCTTATTCTATAAATTTATTTTATAGTAGAGTTTTGTAAGTTAATGAATTTTTAACATTAACTAAATTTTGTATGCTTTTGCATCAGCAAATAAGTTATTAACATGATAAGCAAATAAATAAATAAATAATTAATTAATTCATTAAACTGGCAAAAACCTAACCTCCTGCCAACTTCGTTGACAGAGGTAATAAGAATGCTTTAAATACGAACAAGATGTTATAGTCATATTAACAAGCCCTTTAACGAAAAGTTCCTTTATTCATTTGTATGAAAACAAATGTCCGTGTCTGGCGGGATCCGAACCTGCAACCTCTCGCTGTTAATGCGAGTATCATACAATTAGACCAAAGATTTAGGTATACATGCAGGTCTAACCACAGGTCACTTTCATGGCAGAAGATTGCACTCCACTTTCCCCTAAATATAATTATAATATTTCGAAATAAATTGATATTGGATGTATAGACTTATATCTGTACCGTATGTCCATATCATGCACTCTCTAAATAACATTATTTAAACCCGATAACTATTATTATTCTAGCTCTCATATGTTGTTTCTTACCAGTGGTGGCGCCAGAATTTTCCCGAGGGGGTCCGAGGTCCGGGAAGGAAGGGGGCCGATGCCCCGACGAGGAGGAAGATTTCCTTTACGAGAGCAAAGTGGGCGTGATCAAGCGTCGCTTAAAATCTTTCGAAAGTGGTCTGGGTGGGGGGGGACGAAGCCCCCGAAAATTTTTGACAATTTATGGGTTTCAAAGGCTTACTTAATCGATTTTAAAGTCTGCAAATATGTACAAAATCCATATAATTTTTTCCCCCAACGAATCATGTTTTCGGGGTGGGGCGCAGCTATCCCCGAAGAGGGGCCTAGCCCACCCCTGTTTCTTACTATTGAAACTGCATTACGATGTTCGGAACTTTGTATACAACTTTACCATTATCTTAATTTGTAAGGCTGCTGTATTTATCGCATACAGCTTAGTATTCTTATTCTCTAAATTTATTTTATAGTAGAGTCTTGTAAGTTGCTGAATTTTAACATTAACTAAATAATTTTGTATGCTTTTGCATTAGCAAATAAGTTATTAACATAATCAAAGTTAGCGATGTTGTCTGCTTCATCATTAGTGTCAAAGCAGATAGTCTCGCTTTTCCCATCGTGGCTCTGAGATATGGCAGGATGAGCTTATAGTCATGTAGTCATTACAGAATAGGATTTAAAAAAAAAGAGAAAACGGTCGAAATGGACTGAAATGAAATCACAATCTATAAATTTGCCAATAAAAACAGCTACATTCAGATTCTTATTATTAACTGGAAAATATTCATGCATGACGACATACATATATTTCGTCGTGTTTTTCTAAAAAGTGCTTATTGTTTTACCCTCATTCTCCTATTTCACGTGCCCCTTGCTTGACCCCCTAACTACGCCACTGTATATATATATATTACAGGAATCTAATTTGGAACGCATGTACTTACTTCGTTGTAGCGTTATACGGAGTTATACAATGTTTAATCAAACCCACTGTTTACATTTCTACATTTTTATGTATATATTTATATGGAGATTGAAGGTGTTTATATTTATTATCTTACCCAGATTTTGATATGTAATAATCCATGACAAACGTCGCGTCATAAAGTTCGTAGTACGCACACGTCCTGTAGTGATCACATGGTATTCCGCGAACATCTGATTCGCCAATGTATACCGAAGGGTAATCATCTCGGAATCTGTTAGTTATGATTCGAGAGCCAAGAAGGGCTGATAGTGGACCAGAATTTGATGAATATGCTTCTTGGACAGAAGGGGTAAGGTCTATATCAAGTACATCGCATTCTGGTATACCTCTGTCGACTTTGAAATTATATGTATTGGTAGAAGTTAGTCGAGTGGTAAGTCATGAATAACAAATCAAATATTGCTATACATTCTCCATATTCTACAACATAAACGTTCTCCTCTTTCTTTTTATCAACAACAGCATCAACAACTTTATCATCATCAACATCATGCTCCTTATCATCCACATCGTCATCAATATCGTTATCAACAGCATCATCGACATTATCATCCTCATCAACATGATCGTCATTAGCCTTACAATCACTACAACTTAACTCCATTGATTTTCATCAGCACCATTTTTATCATTATCACCATCATTAGCATGAAGGCCTTCGTCTTAATTTTAGAGACATCAGTATATTGCACTCAAACGAGCATTAACCATTTGGGCATAATCATTAATAATAACCATCGTCATCGTCATAGTACAAGAACCTACGATTTTCATCTTAGATACATGACCATCCCTGTCATGAAGTTACTCCAAAGAAGACGCTACGCTCACCACTACGCAATATGTTTAGTTAACAACTTTGTTATAAACCAAATTAATGTTTATCGACTAAAATCGATTACGTTTGGATTTAAATGTATTATTATTAATTTTGATTGATTGATATATTTTATTTAGTATTAAAATACGTAAATAGAAGGAAAAATTAACAGAGAACAATGAACATACAAAGGATGACCAAAATAAAGGTAAAAATGTAACCTTATTTCCGTTGGATATAACATTTTGGTAACACTTGAGACAAATACTTACAATAGTATGGCTTATACGTCAAAATATATTGTTCCATTAGATAGTAGTCCGAAATGGTCTTGATTTCAGCGCCATTGTAAATGACACTCATAGACTGCTTATAGTGGTCCACCCACTGCTCCACGTCTACTGTCAAACGTTCATTCTCGTTTACTTCCATACGCCAGTAGAAAACGGGCGGGAAATTTGGCGGTTGTTTGATGCTGGGGGTGTATGGTGTGCAAATTTCGGGGTTGAACGCTGCCCTGACCAATCCCAACATAGAAAGCGCCACCAAAACGGCAAATCGTCTGTAAATCTTCATCTAAAATTGTTTTACAGAATGATGACATGCACAAATACAATATACAAGATAATCTCAGTGTTTTTCTGGCACTATTTTTCATTTTTATTAACTGGTTTTAGACAGAAGGCCAAGAATTGCCAAGCAGTGAATTTCACGATTCAAATTGGCATTCCCTTCACAAGACAATGCCAAGCAGTGAATTTCACGATTCAAATTGGCATTCCCTTCACAAGACAAACATAAACACAAAATGCTCTACATAAACTAATTTCAATATAAGGCTTAGGGAGTAGAGTTATACCGTGACAGGAATTGAGCCCAGAACAATGCGATTGGAAGGCAAGCATCGTAACCACCAAGCTCCGCTCCAGTGGTGCTGGTGGTGTTTATGACGATGATGTAAGGAGAGGTTTTGCTAAACGGTTGCGGTTCTGCTTCTCAACCTTGAAGTCGGAGGCAGTGATGGCGCCAGGACCTGCCCGACGGAGGTGCTAAAGGCCCAGACGGTAGGCTAGTGGAGCGAATCGAGTCCCACTTGGCTGGGGGCCAGGGCACGACCACTGGAAGCCACGGATATTTAACGAATTATGACGAATTGTTATTACTTATTTGATAGGCATCGAGCTACTATAATATGACTTCATGTAGGCTATTTTTTCTAATGTCGAAATCAGCTATCAAAACCAAAATATTTTGAATAAAACAAGAAACAAAGAGTATGCAATGTAACTATCTAATTTATTTTCAAATCCTCATTCTTGAAAGTAAAATTCTACATTTTGGAAATTTTGCATAAAATCTGTCAACCACGCTGTCAAGGTCGAGGTTGCTACCCCTACCACATAATGAGGCTATCCAAACGAGCATTTTTTTTTTTTTAATAGCAGAACGCATATTTATTTTTAATTTTCTCCGACAAAATTTGCTCGTCTTCCCCGACCGGGGTGGGGGGGCTATGCTTCCCCGACGGGGGGAATTAGCCCCGGAACCCCTCCCCCTGGCGCCACTACTGGTCGGAGCTTCAGATATGATGTTGAAATGCTCGTAAGGTAATTATACTACTGTCATCATATAGGCCTAAAAAGCATTGTTTTCACATAAACAAAATGTACAAATCATGATTGACTATGTACACCAATCACTTATTACTTATTTAGGTCTACTCCTATTCTAGCTACCATCAGTCAGGGGCACCAAACGATACATCTTGCAGATTACAATCCCAATGATCTTGTAATCTAGTGACGTTTTATAGGCCTAAAACCGGTTAGATATCTTTACATTGCAAAAATATGTGGTTCTAGTAGTAGTGTGGTAGTGTTTGGGAGGTCATAAACGAATACAAACAAGCATAGTACACTACCTATATTATAACAACAAAAAAGTGGTAACTAAATCTTTTACCGATATCAATCAACAATAGCTTTGCAGAGAAATAATCTTACCTTTCTTTTGAATAATGCAATTGTGGATAATCGTTTAGCTTGAGCGAGTGGCACAATCGACATAGAATCACATGCCGCATAGCGGACTTTGCTCCAGCAAGTTTAGCATATCTTTGAATTTTCAAACTTCTCTGATATCATGATCACATTGATTCTATATTCATATACAAACAATTTATACAAAACGATTATACTATGGCCAATATCGATTTAGTTGCGGAACCTCAACTTACAAATAGGCATGTAGAATAATTTGTGAAATTAGAAGTATTGATATTTGAATTTGAATATTCTTATAACCGGAATCGTACAAACACAATTAACAGATTCAAAACACAACTTACAAAAGAAATGGAAAACATCATTTAGTGCTGGGGTAATTTATTAGTATTTTTTTTTTCTACTGGATAATTCATTTAGTGTCAAGCTACATTCTCCCTATACAGCAAACGGACACTCCAGCAGTGTCTTAACGACTGACAAATCAGAAAAGTACTAGAAATTCGCGCTTGCTAGGCATACAAACGCACGTATTTACGTACGTTCACGCTCTCGTTTTGTGAGACCTTTGCAACCACTATCTAATGGGTGATGCTCAGTGGAATAGCCAATTATACTTCATAAAAGCTTGACAGATGTTAAACACAGAAAATTATATTGAAAGGCAAGAATCAAATCACTAAAGCTACAGTTACTAATACATTATTTTTACAAACTGTATCTTACAAAACAAATGATCATCATTTCCATGAATCATGGGTGTAGGTTGAAGGATCCGTAGGCCTAAACACTCCCCCTACCGCTACCAGGCAGCTAATAGTTCCACTAAATGGGTTAAAACATTGACGGATCTGCCAAAAAATTCTAGACCTACCTTTTCAGGATGAGCTGAATTTTTTTTGTTACAATGGGAAAATTAGAAGTCGGGAAGTCTCATTTCCTCCAATTTAAGAATGAATATTTTTCCGTGGGAGGACCCCGGACCCCTTTTCCTTTTGGGGTTCATCGATTAGCAAAAGGAATACGTATGTATAGTCAATTTTTTCTTATGTAGGCCTATGTATACGCACACATAATAGGCCTATTTACTGTAATAAGAATGAGAAAGTTTATCTGACCGTTTTCAAGAGGGGAACACCTTGAGTTTTGAACAAAATCAAAGTCATTAAAAAGACACCTCAGAAAAGCTCATCTAGAAATCAAAATTTTCCCGGGGGCGAACCTCCCTATTTTTTTTTTTTTTTTTTTTTTTGAAACATTTTTACACCCTCCTCTCTCCTAAATTTGAACAATAGGGATTTAGCACAACATTCTGTGATTTAGTTCCACATTTCTCACCTCCCCGCCCCTACCCCCAAACGCCGGGGCCGAAACCAGCCTACGCCCTTATGAGTGTTATTTAATTACCATCCTGTTTTTCTATCAAATCAGAAGTTATTGATGCATGGCACCACCAAAAGTGCTTACACATCGCAGTTCAATTACTAATTAAATACTGTAATTAAACAATTGTATAATTGATAAACAGATATCGGCTCCATTGCCTGAAAAAGAAGGACAGGTACTCGACAACTCGTCCGTGTTTTAACGTAGTTAGATAAACGGACTCACTTGGTACTTTTTATTTCTGTTTTTGAAAGCACGCATTACGCGTGGGTGTGGCAAACAGCGACATACTGCCAAAAAGCGACGCACCATTTGTCGGAACCTGTTATTGTGCATTCCATAAACCCATGGTTCTAGGGACATGTTGACTAAAATTAAAAACCAGCTTAGATACACTGTGGTATTAGATGGGCTATAAGTAGGCGATACCATCCGTTTCAGATATATGGTAATGGATGGGGTCCAGCATACAATATGCAGTAAAATCATTAAAATGAGCGTTCGAGCGGTGCGATGAAACCCACGCTTTGCGCCACGAAGGACGTGTCTTGAAGCAGACGCCTGGTAGCTGACCGCGTCTGCTCGGACCCTCAAAATCTGAATCCGTGCAGCACGATACACACGATAGTAACAGAAACATAATATGGTGGACGGGATGAAATATCCAAAAACGAAAAAAGCGAACGCGAATCCCGGTGTTGACGCAACGTCAATGATGCAGTAGTAGAGAGCTGGATGGTAAAAATAGGTGCCGAGTTTAAAAAGTGGTGACGCGGCCAGGAACACTGATTGTACAAAAATCGAGAGAATACCAATTCCTGTGATACTTGGTTTGCATAATTTGGCGTACCGAATTGGACGCTTTACAAAAATTAGTCTGTCGACGCTGATATAGCAAAGAGTTATATTAGCAGCAACTGGAAACACTGTATTCACAAAACCGCTAAAGTTGCACAATATACTGTTTCTGTACCAAGTCGTAAAGAATCCAGCCACTGTGAATGGAACGGTGATGCAACCGAAACAGAGGTCAGACATTGCAAGTACGGCAACGAACACATTAGCTTTGTTTCTCAAGTATTCATCGGAGAAAATGATCCAACAAATTGTCACATTCCCAATGAGAAGCAAGAATAATAGAAAAGATTCTATAACATGGAAGAAAATTGCGGAGTTTAAAGACGGCGAGAGATGTGATGAAACGACACTTTTGCAACCAGTGTTACTCAATGAAATGTTGTAACCATTTTCATCTGTACAGTTTATGTAATCGTTACTCTCATCCAATATGCTTTCTGTCGCTCCCATTGTAGCTGGAATACCTACAATAGATTAATGTTATATAATATGAATTATGATATTTTATTTTCCATTCTGGGGGTGGAACCTTTCACGCACACGTGAGTAGAGTGAAAACACTAAGTGGATGGCAATAAACCCGATTCTAAAGACGTACGGTAGCATATGCAGTTGCATTACAGTCTTTTAACAACATGCTCACTTCGATTTCAGGATTTTAAGTTTCCTTTGCGACTGGATTGAATTGGATTGGAATTATTCCATGTAAACACCAAGGATATCCCACGAAAGTCTAGAAGAAGACTTAATTCCAGTGGGGTCCTTCTTGTGGTGATTGGGAAGTACACAGGGAGACAATTCCCTGCTCTTTTTCGAAGAGGGTACTGCGTTCTTTAACGTGCACATGGGCCATACATGCACACGGGACCAACGGCTTAAACGTCTCATCCGAAAGGCGATGCGCTATTGTACTTGTATTTCAGTACAAGGAGAGGCAGCGATGAGAATTGAACCGGGGACCTAGAGATCTCCACGGTTCAGCGCGCATAATAATAACGGAATTTGTCATTATTTGATTTGATTACTTTTGATGGGAAGGGTTGGTATAAGTACAGTACTTAGCATTTCTTTCAACACATAACCAACCACCCACCATCCCATCATTCAACAGTAAGTTTAGACCACTTTCTAAAAGAGTTGATTGCTTTAGAAGTGTTCAATGCTCGGAAATGTATTATTAATAAGGGCAACACATCACATCCGAATCGGATCCGTCTGCAGATATTGGGATTCCTTCCAGTGGATACTTAGTTTATTTTGTCATTCTGATCGGATTTTCTCTACTGTTCCGTTTTAATTTTATATATAATTATA